TTTACAAATAAAATAAAACACACAAAAATACTGCAATACAGTCAGAACTTGAACTTTATCACAAACACAAAGAAAAAAATAAAAAATGCAATGGAGATCTACACAAGGTCATGACAGTAGCAAGTTGCGATATCAAGCAGACACATTTATAAATATTTTAAAGATTCACAACTCTGAAGTCTGAGCATATAGAGTATCTCTAAGGTTGGTAGTATTTGATAACAAGTAACTGAAAATTATTTCATCAGATGTTCATTATAGTGCAACCAGCGTGCCACGAATAGTTTCAGTCATATTATAAAACATCAACGTCAACAGATTACTCAATTCAGTGAAAGCTTCTTCAACGAGCTCTACCTTTACATCGAATGTGAATTCTTTGTATTGAACTGCGAAGCCCTCCCATGGTTTGACAAAAAAAATCATTATTGTGCCGCATCGTTCCGCAAGCTCCATCGCAACCTCAACTACGCGGATCTTCAGGGGGAACATATCAATCTGAAGCCGCATGAATGCTGATGAAGGCAAACAAGAAAAAGTTCGAAAACAAATCTCCAAAATGAAGCTAAACGAACCGTGGCACTAGAAACACACCAACGTGTTGAACCGCGGAAAAAAACGAGCCTTACCATCCTGCACCGCCGCGGCATGCCGATCTAATCGCGTTCAGATTCAATAATAAATTCATGTAGTAATTTCATATAAACGAATATTTTCTTCTCCCTTCCTTATTCCTACGAGAGTTCAATGGTTTCTCCAATACGCCCGGTCCGGAGGTAATCGTTCGTGTGTGTGTGTGTGTATATAGCGGAATATTCAAAATAGAATCTCCGATTCCCGTATCGAAATCAAGCTAGCAATACGAAAGAATGGCTTATTCTCAGTCCGGCCTAACGAAATTAAACAAATAAATTCAAATGAATCATTTAGGTTTTCCAGGCTTTTCTCCCGGCAAAGAATGACATCTTTACATCTAATCACAAGAATGGAGAATGATTTAATAAAAATAATCATAATCATAAATAAGCAGATGAAGATCAAAAGTTTCATCCCGCGTCGTGTCCCGTCTTCTATCTGTTATTTTTGGAAATACCACCCCGACCGCGCGTCTTTCCTCTTTTAGTTTTCGGGGCCATTCCATTTAGATTTCCGTGCGTGGTCCGGCCCGCGAGAGGAGGATGAGGCTTCAAGACGTTCGATCGCGCCCGTTCGTAGTTGATGTTGTTGATTTCATCATAAGCGAGGAGCGACGACCTCCTCAGTCGTTTCTTCGATCCTCCGTAGATATTGGATTTAGCTCCGACGTATCAAGTCTAGTGAAGCGTAGAGAAAAGAAGAGACATGCCAGCAAGAGACGAACACAAAACGGCAAGCGGAAGAGCGGGAACACATCGATTTGACAGGTTAGATATTCGCTCTTTCGTTCCGTGCTGCTTCGGCATTACCGCTCGGATTGAGGACTAGGCCATCAGAGGCTGGAGATCTTGCTTTCTTTTCGTAGGAGCATCGCGGTTTAGGCCGATTTGTTTTTGTGGGATCGAAATCGGTTTTCGCCTCGGTCGCTCTAAATGTCATGGGCAGGTTCACTTTTCCGATTAGGTGTAGTCGAGTCTTGTCTTGCAAGACTTGGTAGTTGGAATCAATTTCACACTTTAGTGATCAATCTTATCAAAAATTTTGCGAGGCATTTAGAATTTGAAATGTTAATTTGGATCAAAATGACTGATAAGGAGGATCCCATGAAAAGTTTTCATGACATGGATTTGTACTGTCAACTCCTCACTCTCTTCAAATAATAAATCAATTTTCTAGTGTTTATTTATATGGCAATTTTCTAGAGAGCAAGATGCCATTAGATTGAGCGATTTTTTAACATCCTATATGCCTCTAAAACCCGCCATCTTGGAAAAAAAAAGGCTTTATGATACAGATTTTAAAATTATTTCCGTTGAGGTATACTCGCAAAAAAAACCGTTCTCATATTCGTGAATGAGAGCCATGAACTGTTCACGGTGTACATTCCCTTATACGCACGGACCGTGAATTTTTTATAGTTCACGGCTGCCGTTTACGAATATAGGAACGGATTTTTTTCCGAGTAGGTTTGAAATTTTAAAATGTTTCTATTTTACAAACAATTTATTTTTAATTTTTTCCAATTATTCAACGGGAGAGCACAATTCAAAGGCTACACAATAAACGCATTGATTAACTATTAAAAGTTTTTCTATTTGATGAAACTGGTTCAAATAGGTAGATTTCGACTTTTCTTCCGCCACAGCAACACTCAAATTAATTTAAGGTACTTCATTTCATAGTTATAAGCATTTCTCCCATGTCTCAAAATTTTCAAATTTGCATTCTCAAGCCTTTTTTCAAGATGATGGGTTTATAGGCCTATTCGTCGCTTTGCTCTACTATACAGAACAACTTTGTCCAAGACCGCAAAGCGATTCGAGTTCTGTGAAGCACAGTTGTTGGGGACCTCAATACAGGCCAAAAAAGCAGTGGAGAAAAGGGGGTTGTGATCCGCCACACAAATTTGACCCACGCGAATGTCTAGAGCAGTTTCAGGCAATATAGAAAAAAATTACCACTTTGAGTCTTACCTGACGCTAAGCATCTCCAACTAAGCAACATGTGTCATTTTCTGAAAGGGGTACTGAGAAACTGAATACCATCATACATACTAGCCATACTTTGAACCTACCTTGACATTGCAAAATAGCAATGATTCGTGTAAATAGGAATCAGACACACAATGTATGTGATTAAATAATTTGCCACCCGATCAATCGCAAATGGCCAATTTCCTCGCCATTTGATTCTGTCCGAAATCGCCCCAAGCAGAAGGCTTTTGTGCCAAATCAAGATCCCTATCTAAAATTACAACATATTCGCAGTAATTAAATTTGACCATCAACACTGTCTGGAGCAGGCCAACGTTTTCACTATTTCTATTAACATTTCACCTCATGCTGCGGCCAAATCCAGACAGGAACATCTAGACAAAAAATCAAACTAGGTACGTGAAACAGATTTGCTCCTAAGAAGCAAGAATGAGAAAGCGTACATCAGGAGAGATTTATCTTCTATTCGACCCTTTCTCCCCTCGGCTTCAGGAAAGATATCTCTCCATCACCATCAACATCATCAACGGTATTGGATTAGCTCCGGGCTGGTTGGTCCGTTGAAAAGTCCGAATCCACGCACGGTCAAGCGGCCCTCTATAGGTGCCTCCAAGCTGCCCTGGCTATTTCGAGCATACAGTGAGTCTTTTTTGAGCAAATCTGATTTTCCATAGTTCCAAACCCACGTCGCGTCGCTGGTCATCGAAAGGCACACGAAGGGACGTGGGATGATCGGGGTGGATCCCCCCCCCCCCCATCCAAAGTAACACAAAAAGCGCTTAAGTCATCGATCATTTCTCATTTTTGTCTACCTTCCCTCTCACACACGCACTATTTCTTTGCTTTCCCCAAATCCAGCTTTGGAGTTTCAACTTTCGACTGAAGGCATTCTTTCCCCCATTGGTCGGTAAGATTGAAATGATATTGTTCCTATCGAATTTTTCCCCTTCCCGTGCGCTCGCCACTCGCCCTCCATCACCGTAATATGAAATATGTTTGGAACATTTGTTTTGTGTCATAACAAGGTGGGATCCGCCACAACCCCTTGACGCGCGGGAGGTCACACAACGTGTACTTGCCGCGGTACTCGGGCAGAAGAATACCAGCCAAGGGGCAAGACCACGCTCGCAAATCTCCACCTGCGTAGAGGAAGGAAACGGAAAAGAATATCTTTCATTACTTATTTATTTAATTTTTATCCCCGTCGAATGAGGTTAAAGGGGAGAAGGGGGAGCTAACGGGAAGTAACACGATTTCAACACTGAAATTGTAAGATTCAAATTGGTCAAAATACTTTCAACACATCTTTATTTGTTACATTACGGTACGAGTTTTGACATGGTTGAAGCTATATTTTTAGAGAAGAAAAAGCCCCACAATGCCCGTGTGAAGAGGAACACCTTCGAACGCACTGACGTTCCTTTGGTTTGCAATTACTTGTCTCTATTTTTTTTTTTTTTTGTTAGTGACCATTTTAGGACAAGTCACGTTTCGTGCTCTCTTCCTACTACTGGTTCGCGTGCCGGCAAATACAACAAACTTAGCGACCAACCCTGGGCAATGGTTGGGTCACAAGCCGCACAGAGAGCAGGAGGAGATGATTTTCGAAATGCTTTATTTCCTAATCTACAAAGCAATCAGCTGCGATGTGTATTCTAGGCTTCTCCTCACTCCGAAGTAAATTGTAGGTCACTCCATAACCGCGGGATAGAAAACTAAAATAAGAGTAACCATTTCGCATCGAATTCTTCGAGGAGCGAGCCGAGTCGAGTGGTGTGCGGTAACAAGGTTTTAATCATAATCAAGTGATTCGGATTTACGGCACTAGGCCGTGGCCGAGGTTGGAAAAGTGGCTTCAAACGAAATAGCAATCGCGTGAGTCGCGCGCGCACCCCTTTGTTGGCGCGATAACATGCTTGCTCCGCAGCAATTTCAAACTGTTTAAATTTAATTTACGTTACGAGGCTACTCCCCTGCTGACCGTTGATGATTGGCTCGAGGACGATCATTTTCCACCGATGACCTGCCGAGGCAATTCAACAAATTTGCATCAACATTCACATTCACAAAGTCTTGTGCGCAGTGAGCAATCGATTGTTATTCGATTAATTTGACTAATTTGAGAAATTAGCGAAAGTCTTTTCATGTTTCTTTTTCTCCTTCGTCACTGTGGCCGCCATCCGTACTGTGTATACTTAAGCTAGAAATCGCACTTGATCATTTGCCTCCATCATCATGGCGGTCTTCACCTGCACATAAGCACCAATTCAGCAACAATTCCGGCTAATTTCGAGTCTACCCATATGTCAGTCAGTGTGTACCGCTCGTTTCATGTGCGTTTTTTTTTTCCTTTCTCGTTTTCATTCACAGGTCACCGACACCAACGACAACCCACCGTCATTTTCTGAACCAGCGTACTCGTTCGACATTCCGGAGAATGCGGCACGGGGCTTCCAGGTGGGCGTCATCTCCGCCAGCGATCCGGATCTCGGCACGAATGCGGCCGTCACCTATACGGTCATCTCGGACTGGGCCAACGATGTGTTCTCGCTGAATCCCCAAACGGGGATCTTCACGCTGACGGCGCGGTTGGACTACGAGGAGGTAAGTGGATTCGGATCGACCTAAATATGAACTCAGGCTAAAAAAGCGAAAAACGCCATTCACAGAGCGATTTTGACAATTAATCTTATTCATGGGTGGTTGCCAATATGCCACATGGACAGTAAAGGGCGTGTTTCCAAGGATTATTGTCCACGGGGGTCTAACATATCTCAAATACTGCACATGTGCTTTGTGGACAGCTCCTAATAACAAAGCTCAAATTCATATATACACTACCGATCATAAGTTTAAGGACACCCCCAAAAAAAACATGACAAATTTGTTATGTTCATATTTCTGTCATGTTACGTCCAATTTTCGTTCTCTTTTGATTATTTGAAAGGTATTAAATGGAATTTTCCTCGTAGGCAAATTGTTCAATATAATTTTCAAATTTTGTGTGCTAAAAGTTCACCCAAAGTTACAATATTTTTCAAAATTCACTCTGAAGAATCGTGACTGATTTTCTCAGAATTGGGTTGGCCAAATTTTGAAATAAAAGTATTAGTAGGACACTTATGCTATACCATTCATACCATTCAAATAACCTTTGGAGATCTAAAATTGAACGTGAAATGAGAGATCATTGCACAAAACATATTTGCATGGTTTTTTTTTTTTGGGTGTCCTTAAACTTATGATCGGTAAAATGTAATGAACCGTCATTGCACAGAAGAGGTTCCTTTTCCTCCTCGGTTTTCCTTAAATTTAACGCGTAAAAAACTCAATAATTTTGTGAAATGTTTCCTTCTCATGTTTAAAATGAGTGGTTCTGTCAAGATTGACTATTCATGTAAACAGCATTGAGAACCAGGATTCAAAATTTCTCGTTCAAGCTTCTCGTTCTTTGCGTAAAACTTATCACATACAGACTCAATAATTTTAGGATTTGTTTTCCTTCTTTTAAACATTAAGTAGCAGTTCTTCCGAACATTTGCTAGTCCTATAGAAACTAATATTTGAAAATTTTCATAATATTATTTTTCCTTCCTGCTCCAGCTTTTAATTTCCAATTTCTAATTAACCAATAAATGCAAAGGTCTATTGTGACATAAAATCCAGTCGACGAATTAAATCTTTTTCGGTCTCAAAGCCTTCAATTTCGACATTTTAGTGCGTTTTGTTTTATTATTTGCGTCAAAGATGATCTACTTCACGAGTAAAATTAGTCAGTAATTTATGCTGCGCGGGCAAACGTAGAAAACATTGAGCAATAAAAATAAAAATTCACAAGACTATAGAAAAATATTTAAAAAAAACAGAAAAATTAAAAAAAAAACTTAATTTTAAAAAATATAATAACTCAAAAAACAAAATCAAAATTCTACCTATTGAAATAATTACAAAATCTTGGTAGATTAAAACAATTTCCGAGATTCCGAAATGGAGCATTTGAGGTGGAAAATTTTCAAAATAATATATTGATGTGATGTGTAGATGTGATGAAAAGTCACCATCAGTGCAGGACTTTCCATGTCGTGTGGTTCCTCCTAACAGCAGAGCTCATTTTGTGATATAATGTTATCGTCAAACCACTGCTGTATCTTCAAAACATGCCAAAAATGAATGAACGGACCCGTATGTATAGGCACTTACCCGAAATCCACGGGAAAAGAGAATCTCCTTCCAACAGTTACATCTAATTACATGAAATAATAGATCGCAGTATGGATTTCCGTCTGATGGTTGCGAATGGAATATGGTAAGCGTAGTTATTTAAATCGACGTATCTGATGTTGCAAACAATCACTTCAATCGGCGATTTGTGGCAACTGCAATCTCACTCACAGAAATTAACAACACCAGTTAATAGGGGAAATATTCCCCTACCTGATGATGGTGTATGTTTGCGTGGGTGAATTAGCAGCTAAGACAAACCGTCGATTGAAGTGATTATTTACAATAGCAGATACGTCGATTTGAATAGTTACGCTTGATGGATCCTTTTTAAACAGAATTATAAAAAAAATATCAGGAATTAGAATTCAATAAATTAATAAATAATTTCTAAATAAGTTCCTTTGAAATTAATCAGTATTATGCCAAATGCACCATTACGGCCGTACGGCAAAATGGTTATAGGCCAAACAGATTTCAGTCAAATGATCAATGCGGCCGATCAAATTTCAGCCAAATGGCATTCGGCTAGATGAACCGAAACCGGATTCGAAAATAAATTAGATCCAGATATTTCATTTCATTTTCATTTTGCAGCGTTTGGTGGCACTTGAACGCCATGGGAAAAGGAAGAGATTGAAGAGGCCGGTAAGAGATGAACTAGCCAGGCTAAAAATCTCTCTAATAAAGGAAAAAAAAAAAGAAGAGGCCGGTTATTGGGGGGTTTTGAGGAAATGACACATAGTGATGCTAAATGTAAAGAAACCGAAAATCCATCTCCCACTGATTCATCCTTTCACATACAGGGTGTTTGGTTCCGGGTTTTACATATTTTCAGGGTAGATAGGGCTCCTAAGGTTATGAAAAAATTCCCATGAAACATAGGGTCGGAAATGACTGCTAAGTGAGTTATTCAACATTTTATGTTTTTTTTTGTATTGCCAAATTTGGTTAGCTATATTTTTTTAATCTTGATGTGGTTTTCTGATTTCAACATACCAAATGAAAGATTAAAGTCTAAGCTATCAGTGCTCTTTGAAAAAGAACTCGATTAAAGTTAATTATCATACATTAAAATTGAAAAGTATGTTGAAAGTACCAGAAAAACTGGTGAAATTTCATACATTTGAGTGTTTTTAAATTGAAAATTTTCATTTCTGTTTATTTAGTTGTTCTACAAAACATTTTCCATGCTGTTCCCTAGATTTGTGCCTTTGGTAGTAACCTTGTAGGCTTTATGGTTTCTTCGTAATTATTGATTTAAAACAGCCATAAAAACTTGTGACGTTTTCTTAAAATGCGCTATAGTCACCCTATTCGTTCGTACGTTCGGCTGTTGCAGTGGACTACGCACATGAAAATTTGGTAGAATGTTATTGTAAATGTTTAGCTACATTCTTAACTTTTGATTACCGCACATCTCCTGCGCCGAAAGAAAACATTACTTCGGAGATGTTTCGCGGTATCGAATATTGCTCAGTCTCAGCAGAAAGCACAAGCGGCGAATTCTGAGAGCGGAAGGGAGAGAAGTAGGTAGTGGGTAGTGGTAATAAGTCGATATCCTTTTTATTTCATAGCACTCGCAGCCCAGCAGCGGTGCTGTTTCGATGGAGGAGTGTAGAGCTCCGCTGCTTCTGTATGCACACTTAGATTTTGTTTACAGGAGTTAGTATTTTTACTGGATTTTTGGATTGCTGACTCGGTTAAAATTCAAATAACTGTTATTCGTAAAGATTGGATAAAATCGATTTTTTTTTATTTTTCATCATTACACGGGGCTAACAGAAGTTATTTTGTAAATTTTCGTAACACATTTTCTCAACTTTAATTTTTTTAAATTTTACCGAAGAGTTCCGCAATTCAAAAACTCGGTAAAAATTACTGACTCGATAAGTGTGTACTGATGTATGGTGGGTGGAGAGTCTAGCATGTGGAGGTTATTCTCGGGCTAGTGAATGCCGTATGGTTATGTCACAATAGAAGCACGCCACAGTGGAAATCCCGAGCCATAGTTCAAACACTTATCCCAAATCAAAATGAAGCACATATAAGATTAGTTGCAATACCATGTACAAAAATGGTGTTTAACATTGTTTCCTGGGTAATACCTCAATGAAAACAACAACGAAAGCTTGTCACGCAAGTAGAAGGAGCACTGTTGGACACTTTCTGAAATATTTCAATAGTATAATTCCCTTGCAAACCCAAATAAATCTATCTGCGTAAAAATAAATAAAATAAGAGTGATTTGCGGCAAAATCCGCCAGTATCGCACCAAACGTCAGTGCCTATACGTAAGCGTACTACAACGCGGCTTTCAAATAAAGGAGTAACAAGTGTGATACTATCACTTCAGGCTAGAACTTTGGTTCTCTTATGCAATGGTTCATCAGAGAGGGGAAGCTCAGTAATCCTCATCGCATGCTCATGACGCTATTCTGTCACGGCATGAGCCAACGATGCCGGACCTAAACCAACCGTCTCCAACGCTCCACTATGAAGCATAAGATTAGGCCCGCCCACCAACGTCCAGGTTAAAAAACTAGCCAAGGGGAGGGAAAATAAATTAGATCCAGATATGGATAAATAAATATCAGGACCATGGACTAATTATTTCCTAACTGAAAAACGTGCGGAAAAGGCTTTTTCGAACTTTGCCTTGCCAACCGAGAGCTTGAACAATTGTGACAGTTATATTTCATAACCTACTTGATCAGAAAGATTGGATCATACACATGGACGTTCATATGCAGTTACTCTTGAAACTGTGTTCTGTACAAATAGGAATAAGATACACAAAGGGTATTTTTCAAAATTGCAACAAACGTTGTATGCAACTCGATGCAAAACTCGATTTTTCAGCTCCCTTCGTAAATATCCAATGTACGACTCGTGCTGAAAAATCTTCATTTTGCACCTTGTATGTAACTTTTATGTATTTTATCATCTTTGATTTTAAGCAAAAGAGATACCTCTAAAGGTAAATAATTAAAAACATACAAGTCATTACGCTTACAAGTTTTAAAATCAAGTATAGAAAAATATTAAGATCTCTGATTTTGGAAAAATCAAAATTCCAAACTTTTAAAAGTTCAAATAAATTTCAAATTCACTCATGTTAGCCAACATCCAACATTTCAATTATCAATTTATATTTGGTTTTGACATTAAAAATTCGAAATTTATCAGCTAAAATTATGTTTCAAGATTTTTTTTTTACTTATATTATACGTGAGGGTGAAATTGGGCCTATAAATCAAAAATGTCCGTTCTCTACCTCACAACATTCACATTTTAGCAAGGAAGCATGTGAATATAATCATCAATGATATATTTACGACTATCATGGAAAAGGTTCATTGAATTGATATCTCATTTTACAAAAATCAAAAAAAAATGGGCCGGTGTAAAATCTTATAGATAGCTTATATATAGCCCCGATAAATTTGGACAAAATATCTTGAAACATGTAAATGTATCGTAACTATTATGAGCACACTGAATTATGATCACAATGTATTTCGGATGTATGGCTAAATATCACGTACAACCCTCGTATATCCACATAAAAGTGTGTTCAATGTTTTGTTCGCAGCTGTTGTCAACAGGCAACATTATTAAAAACGTGATTTTGCTAATATTTATGACTCCTAACTTTACGGTACTAGTTCATTTTATCTACACTTTACTCCAGGTATTCAAGAAACATATTCTAGCCATAATTTTCTGTATATTCAAGATATTTGCATCAATAAACATATTTCAATGTTGGCCCAATGTCACCCAGTCAGTCTTGCAAGCGGTCACGGTAGTCGACACATTTTCTGTGATAATTTACTGCCTTTGCCTCCGACACTTGCAAACCAAGTACCAGACTAAAATGTCATATGACAGGCTCTGTCATACGACACTGTCGCCGAAGACCGTCACGAATGTATGTATATTAGTTTTTCTCATAATAAGAGCTGCTGATGGTGTGCTTGTGTGAATTCTGAAAATAGCAAGCAATGATGTCCTAGTAATAATATTTCTGATCAGAAATGGTTTGATTTACACCAAATTGAGGAATTACAACGAAATCACACATGTCATATGATAGCTATTTTGATAATTTTCTTTTAGCTCGAATGTTATTCTACCGCTCGTGTTGTGTGAGAGAGACGACGGTAGAGCATGAGTGTTCGAATACAAACAGACTGTCGCGCACGACAACGAAGCGAGTGTAGTAAAAAACGTCAACTGTTTCAACCCCTGCACGCAGTATTACGGCACCATTGAAGATCACAATTGAACTCAACTTTTGAATAACCTGATCAATTTTACTGCCATAACATGCATGGTGAAAATGCATGCAAAAATTAGAGATTAAAATAGATTCTATTCGTTGACTTCCCTTTCGTTAATAACGGCTTCTAAACCGTTTCTTTTCGTCATTGTCGTATTAATTGCTAGATAATAGCTTCTTTCACTGAACTGTGTGTAGAAAATAGCTGGAAATATGTTAAAATTACCGTGGCCCGCAAAGAGAAAATCGACGAAGAGAATCTGTCAATATTACTTACGACCTAATACATTGTTCAACTGGTAGTGGTAAATATCGAGTTGTAGAAAGACGACCATAATTCGTTTCAGCAATAGTCAATATTTCTTCGATACATCCTATTACTACACCATCACATCAATAATCAAAAGCTATTTACAACTTAATTCGATACGCAGCAAGAATTATCTCAAAACAGCAGAACATAAAATTGAAAAAGCGTTAAATTTGCCATATATTTTACTGCTCCGTGTGAAATTAACACATACCAACCGGTAATGTTAAGCTTTTTAAAGCCAGATTCACATCCAGTAGAGTAGATGGATTGTACTATCCTCCAGTGATGGGATAACTTGTCCGTAAGTCGTCTTCGTCGTCATCGATGTGGCGCTTGCTCGGGATGGCCATAAAATTCAACGCTCTCCCTTTGCTCGGCGGCAATTAAAACGCCGAGAAGGTATGCATAAATAATGAGACAATCTACAGAGTTTTACGACCATTTTCAAAATTAAAATACAGTTAAGAAATCACTTTTTACAGGCCAGATATCAGCAAAGCCCCAAACCATTTTCTACATTTATCGAACCAAATGACAATTTATGAATTTGTATGTGTGAGCTCATTTCCGTTCTCGTTGTTTAATGTTGTCTGTCTGTCTTCCCTTAGGTACAACACTACATTCTTGTGGTGCAAGCGCAAGATAACGGCCACCCGAGCCTGTCCAGCACGCTGACCGTCTACTGCAATGTGATTGATTTGAACGACAACGCTCCGATTTTCGACCCGATGAGCTACTCCAACGAGATCTTCGAGAACGTACCACTCGACACCGATGTGGTTACGGTCAGTGCCACCGACACCGATTCCGGTAAGTTAGTCTCCACTAGACACATGTTAGCGCCGTTCTCCAAATTCCTCTCACCGTTACGTGTTCGCATGGGTCGTCGTGCCATGTTTCGAACTAGGTATGTCGTAAGGAAATGAGGAAACTTCAATCGTTTTGCTTTCCCTTCTTTTTTTCTACTCCTCTCGTGTGTAACTCTTCGATGGAGATATTAGCCCTCACCGCAGCAAAGAGCACAGTTTGATCCAACATAACCTCTCTAGAAGGTGCACACCCGGGACCCGGGTAGATTAATAATAAATTTTCAATTTTTAAATAACTCCTAATTGTCCAAATGACATAATCTACCCATGCCTCTGATATCGATGTCCTAAGCACGTTCATTAAAGGTCGTGGTCCATGGCGACTTTCGGGTGTTGACTATGTATGCCTCACTCATTTTGGGACACAATAGCTAGCTCGAGCTTGGGTTTAACTGTAAAAAACATGATTTAAATAATCGATTTTATATCCCATCTCCACACGCTTATTTGTCACAAAACTGTGATAGAAAATAAACATCATCCTCACCAGTATAAACTTCCCTTCGTTGCTTTTCTAACATTCTGGAGCGAAAAAAAAAATCCGTTGACCATTAGAAGCTCGACCGACGCCCACTGTGACTTGTAGAACTAGTTATGTGTGCCATAAAATTGTCCCCATGTTTCCAACGTTACAACTTCTTCCATCATTGAAAGCTAGCGAGGTGCTGATCGATTTTTTTTACGATTTTACGACCCAAAAGACACATAAATTCGACCACGTTTTCTTCAATCAGATACGCTTTGAGTCTACTTTTATTGAGTTCCAAATTTATAGATATCTATATAGAATATATACATTAATGTTATGTTCTATCAAGAATTCCCACTGTTAAACGCGTCACCTCACACAAATTTGTCGAAAACCAACCAACGTCTTCAGCTGTTGATCCCGAAATACGGATGGACGGGTGATGGCGAAAAGTGGCACGGACTTTCGCTGCTTTTGCTTGGCATTTGACTTATCCTCCCCTTCTACGTTGCTCTTTTCGCGTTGATCACCACACAATTCTCTGGTCGAGTATCTCATCATCGCATCTTTAGAGCTCATCCCACGGACTGGTGTTCGTGGTTTGGATCGGAGGTGATGTGCCTCCGTCTTAAAAATTGATACTAGTTTATTACTAATATTTACTGGCCCATAAATTATGCTCGCCTACCAATCCAAGCTGGTTTTTGTTGGGATTTCACTTTGTAATCGCATTTTATCTATAGTAGTTTTTTTTTTTTTCTACTCAACAGTCTCGATCGCTGGTTCGGCGGGCTTTAAAGAGTATATTCACACGCCTTTCTGATAGACGAAAACGACTTGCTAGGAATGCTACATTTAAGTCAAAGTGAATCGGCAAATCACAGAAATAAAGTTCGTTCCACAAATGACCATCGGAGTTCGGTACCAATCACTTTGTTGAAAAATTATTGATGTGATATAAGCTATTAGTGGAGTCCCCCGATAGCATAGTCAGTAAAGGCGCGGCACTCCACCGAGTGCTCTTTAAAGTCCGTAGACTGAACCGAGTATCGAACCCGCCAAAATGTTCTTTGCCAATTGTTTGACTAACCTGGGCTTAGATAATCATTGTGTTTTGTTTGAATTGAGCTTTATTTGAATTTACATCTGTGAAAGTGCATCAGCTCTTCCGTAGCTCCAATAACCGATTTCAAGAACACAAGCATTCCGAAGCTATACTAGATAAACCACACACTTAGAAAAAACCATGTACATTTAGGTGCCCTGAGACTGACATATACGAGCGTCAATTTTGACATAAAATTGAGTCATAACAAAATAATTTTAGATATTTCTAAGTGGTAGGTATTAAGTTTACTGTCAGATGAAACAAACGCAAATATGTCTTAATGTTACGGAAAGGAGTGGAACTCTAACCGATCACTATCACTTAATGAACTTTTTCAACACCATTCCGATTCCGACTCATATTATTAAATATTGGTAATATGTTTTCACAGGAAATCAACTTCTTATTATTATTATTATTATTATTATTATTATTATTATTATTATTATTATTATTATTGTTATTATTATTATTATTGTTCACATTTCAAGCGTATTGCTTATCGCATATTATTTTATTGCGTGCTCTCAACTTAGTGTTCTAGATGCACTGCGACAATTTTTAATTGCGAGCTTTCGATGTCTGTACCATTTTTGCATTAGTATAATTGTGTGGCCAGGAGAGCACAATCATACTTTATGCTAAGGGAAGGCGAGAAATTCACCAACCCGAAAAATTATTAGACCGGACCGGGAACCGAACCCAGAGCCACCTCCAGCATAGTCTTGCTTTTTAGCTGTGCCTTTACCGATTGAGCTAAGGGAGGCCTAAAAGTAATAAAGTGGAAAAAGCGATCATCTGCTAAGCAAAAGCCACCTTGCCAATAATAATTTACCAACCCAAACTCATTCCAAATCATATAAATGCTCCATCAAATAAAAACTAACAAAAAATGAACAAGTCCACTAGCTGTTAATCACACCCGAATGGAGCACGTTAATGGTGTACCCTCTCACGGGAATTAATCTTCATTTCCAAACATTCCAAACAAGAGAAATAGAAATTCTCCCCACAATTTGTCACCCTCACACTTGTGAAATTTGGCAGCCAACGCCTGCTCTTTGAGACCATCCCTCGTAGCCGCCAAAATGACTTATTCGTCCCGGCACACTAATCTGCTGAATCTATTTCGTAATTTATGAGTTCCTCGCTTGCTAGTTAATAGCTCTATACACCGTTCCGCCTCGCCTCCCACCAAACCTCCTCCGATGCTGCTGCTCATTGCTGACCGACGTAATAAGCGCTCTCACTTCGTCTTGCCATGCGTTGTAGATAAAGGAGCTCAAGACTGACCATGAGGACCGCCGTCGCCGTCTTCACCGCCACCAACTGCCTACCAGCCAACCAGTGTCAAACCGCGTCAAGCGGGGGTGTTAAAAGCGTTTCTCAAAGCTGCGGACGCGGTCCTCTCCCCCTTCTCCCTATGCCTACTTTTCTTTGTATATTTTTGCGTGGGTCGCGCGTTCCGCGGTTATTGGAAGAAGTGTATCAGCAAGAAGGGAAAGAGTGTGCTGGGTGTTTCAAAAGATCACTCTTAATGGTGTTGTTTTCTGGGTAGAACCTGACGGGCACAGAAGACGGAACATATGTGCCATCAACGAACACCTATCGGTGACAGACAGACAAGCTTGCGGTTGAAGGAGTTGACTTTGTCTAACATTGATTGAAACAATCGTTTCTCGTCACCTTTGGTAATACCTCCGGGGATAGGCAGAACGACGAGCACAAAACCGTTCGGATATTGACGGTCATCTTTCCGGTTTACGCAGTGGGTGCTTATTCGACACATTCCAGGGGATGGTTGTGTGGTTGCGCCCCTTCGAGCTCCAACAGGGGCATAAAAGATGCTGTTTTTGTATGCGTGGAAAGGTGACTCGTTTGATGGTGATAATCCTGTTTTATAGGTTTTGAATTTTAATATGCTGCAACGGGAATGGTTTGGCTTTAGGTTCGATGCGAGAGGTCGACGCACATTGCCAGATTACGATCGATATTAATTTTCGGGAGAAGTTTTTTTTTTTCTTTGATTACCCTCTCGGAATTGTTGAATACACAATTTAATGGCACACTCTCAACAAAGCCAGCTGTTTTATGCAAGGTAACGATGCATCAGCCCCAAACGGGATAAGCTGACGTCTCTTCAACTCACACATACACACTCACAGTAGGCTGAGGCTCAGCGCTGATACTGATTCAAAAAGGCCGCTTACCAAGCAATTTGAGGTCATCAAGTTCAATGACATATCTCGGTTTCTTAGATAGCAATCATCGCAATTACGCTTACAAAATAGCACGCCAACTGGGATGGATATCGACTCACATGGCTTATGTAAATTAATAAACGTTGCATTCTTTCCATTTTTGCGATCTCTTTCATTCCCTGGTTGACTTATTCCACCAGGATACACATCAGAGAGCTAAGTCTCTCGGAATGAGGCACTGATGTGGCGACACTGTAATTTTACTGTGCTACTTCCCACCGTGGCCCGAGAGTTTCACGTTCCCTTCACGCAGGGCTGATGGAGTTCTGTCTCTGTGCCACCCAACGAATGACACTCAATTGAGTCACCTAATTCATCCTGCTCTCTGCTACTAAAACGCGCGGTGCACCAACAGTTGACAAGAGTTTTGCCCGCAAATCAGTCAATTTAGTCACACTGTCCGCCGTTGAGTGGCAGTTGGGCGTCGCTTTATTTGATTTGAGAGAATTCAAGAAAGTAATTTTTTACCCTTTGAAAAACGGAACCGAACGCGTAATGAGCAATGCGTGAATGCAGGTTTCGAATTGTAATGAAATGGTTTGCGTTTGCGCGCCGTCATCATCATCATCAACGTCTTCGTCGTCGTCCTCGTCGTCGTCGCCGTCGTTCGTTGGTGAATCCGAGTCCCTTTCCGCTAAGTCCTCTTCTGCCGGATAATGGTTTTGGGTCTGAATGTTGTTATTATTATTTATCTCTTTACAATTGTTCGTAAATATTAAAGCGACTTTTATTTTCGATTTCTTCGTTGCAGTTTGCTCCGGGTTGCTCGCGGTGTTTCTTTCAGTTTTTTTTTTGCTTTCGAAATTTTTTCGGGCTATTCTTCCTCGGTCGATTGTTAGTTTCCGATGGTGATATTCTTTCAGGGCGTGATTACGTCATTAGGATGCGCTCGGGATTGCTGGGAATTATTCAAATTTGGGTTCCGTCAAATCCTGGTAGTTTGATCAGATGCAGGGAAAGAAACATTAAAACAATTTGCATTTATGCAACTGGTCTGCCCGCACAAGATGCCCTATTTAAGGGGCAAGTGGCGCCGAATGACCACGATGCTGAGGGGGCAAGATGTGATCTTTAAAACTTCAGTCATTATTAAAACAAAGCAGACCTTATTACACTATGTTTGAGAATCCAGAATGCGCCAAATGAATTCAGCATGCCATTGAAATTAAAGCAATTGGTGGTGAATTTTATCTAACTCATCTTAAAATTCAGTGTGTACTCACTGAAGATTGCACTCGAAAAAAATGCAACACTGTAAAACTAGTTTAGAGTGTAATGTTTTCATATGCAAAATCTCGTAACAATCTGTCAAGTGGTTATCGAGATGGCTTCCAAGCAAGAAGTGCTTCGACAAAAAATTATTGGAGCGGTCGTGGAAAATCCAGGCCAGTCCCACAGGTGGATCGCGAAACAGTTTGGAATCGACAATTCGACCATGTCCCGTGTGGTAAAATCGTTCAAGGAGACCCAGACGATCCAGCGGCAAGCTGGCAGCGGAAGAAAAACGAAGACGGCCGACCACGTGAACGCAAGGAAGGTGAGGGATTACTCCAAGCGCAATCCGAACCTTTCGATTAGGGACGTGGCCAAGAAGGTCAATTATTCCGTCAATTCGTCCAGCAGACAATGAAGCGGGCCGGACTTCATGACTTCAAGGTAAAGAAAGTGCCTAACCGAACCGATAAACAGAATACGGTGGCCAAATCCCGCGCCAGGAAGCTGCACCGCGAGTGGTTGGTGCAACCGAAATGCATCGTAATGGACGACGCGACGTACATTAAAGCGTACGCCCTGGCCTGGAGTGTTTTGTCGGCAAGTCCCGCCTGGATGTTCCGTAGGAATTTTGTGAGAATAAGGTCGACAAATTTGCCAAGAAGTACGGTGGGTGCGCCAAATTCAACAAGCCGTACATAACGACCGGCACCATCAACGGCCAAATATATAAAGAAGAATGCCTCCAGAAGCACCCGCTGTCCTTTCTCCGTTCCCACAAAGGTGACACTCTGTTTTGGCTGGATCTGGCATCGTACCATTACGCGAAGTCATCGATGTTGTTTTTATGCCGCCCATAGACCAATTCTGGGCGCTTATGACGGGCAAGCTCCGGAAAACAGGGAAGGTCTTCAAAACCGACAAGGAGGTGAAAGTGTGTAAGAAAGATGGCGCACATGTTGAACAGGATTTGATGGGTAGCGTTAAGTTCAAGGAGCATTTGGCGAGGAGGTTGAATAAACCAACTGTGCTAATATGTGTTTATTTATTCCCTGAGAAATTCAAAAATATCCGACTTAACATGAATTTTTGGTGATCATTTTTGTCTGTTGCTTTTTTTTTTCGAGTACAGTCTCTATTTGAATTTTTTGATGTTTGAGTCCTAGAAAAATTTCAGAAACCACGCCAACGTAACTTTATAAGTGTTCGTAAATAAAAAAATATGTAAAACACATAAAGTTGCCCCCAAATTCGACGCCTTTGACAAGCACACACACGGTACGTTGCAAAAGGGAATAAGTGCTGGAAATCATTGGAATGGCCAAATTTATGATCTGCCAATAATGAGCCACGATGTGAAGGATCACAATTCAATCGAAGCAGGAATACATTTTTGTTTTATTTGAGTGTTCAGTTAGAAATCAGGAACTAAGAACAACAAGATTATTTGTTCTTTTTTCAGTAATCTCCTCCATAAACTGATCCATGGGAACGCACTACGTAAGCCCTCTAAACTGATAACAAAAGTAAAACATAAATCAGGATCAACGCCGATTCGCATCGGCCGAGTCTTGTTAAATGTACGTTGCGTATTCTAATTTGTAAGCGTTAGCGAGCTAATGATCTGAAAATTATAATAATAAAGCGAAACATCTAATCCAAATAAAGACGATGATATACGGCGAGTCTCCTCCTGTCGCACGTACACGGCCGTCCTCGCTCAAAGCGGCGGGGCGCGGATTAAAAGTGCCTCAATTAGTAGGAAAAGTTTCGACTGCGTATTTTGCCGTACTATGCTGTGTGTTGGTTTAGCTGCGTTGATCAATTTTTCGAAACGTTCGTATCTACTATCTCTGCATGGGGAAGAGCAAAGAATATCCGAAGGGATTCACGGAGAAGAATGCCGACCAGACATGGGGAGAGCATTTAAGCTTTATTCAGACAAGAGCGTGCACGCGCGGAGCCTTATTTGACTCTCTCTTCCAGTACAAATTCCGCTCCACGCCGCGCGTGCACGCTCATATCAGGATTGACCTTTAAGCGGAGCAGGTGATCCAAGCAGGCGAATTGGGAAACAAGATTTCTCTGCGCCTACTTTGATCATTACTGTGTTTGTATGGGTGAAACGGAGAGTGTGAGTGTGAGGATGGTGGACTCTTTTTGAATATTAATTAAGTTGTATTTAAGAGCAGGTTCCTGTTGTTTTGTGCACGCGGAACGACGAAAACTCTCCATTCCAGTTAGCATTGATCTGATCAGCGGTGCTGGGTGGAGAATGCGGGACCATAACAAAAAATAAAGCTGACAATGGTCGAGTTCGATACACTCCGGGTCTCGGTCAATAAAAAAATGTATTAATTTATACTCCAATATAATGTCTGTAGAGGTGTAATATTCCGATTCCGAATGGTTGGCTACTCGTATCATTACTTATTACCAACGCCTTTACATCGACGGTGTAGCTAGGGGTTGACAAAACAGTTCTTTCAATGAACCAATACCATCATCAAAGAGAATGCCTTTCAATTCCTCGCTACCACTCTGAGCACCATATATTTTCAGAATCGAAGCCTTTGGCGAGACAGAAATAACAGAGATAGACAGAAACCGAGCAAGACGTTACACATATCACCGAGAATCGTTTTGTCGTAGCCAGTTAAAAGACATGTTCATTGACTGTTCCATCATGTTTTACTTCAGATCTTACTTCTGTGCGCGCGTTTTCTCGCTTCCCACTGGCAACTGTTTTCTCCGCCCCCCAACCGACCACATTCCGCAGCCCATGTCCACTGAATATGAGCTTTAGCTGTCATCTCACATCTTCCATTCTCCCCGCAGGATGTACTTCAGTTGCGAAATCCATGCACCGGATTTGAATACAATAAGTGACGAATGTTGTATTTATCACTTCGATAAAATCAGTTCTGCATCCGACTGGTCAGCCATGACTGCACCAAAGTCAAGACGCACAGTAGAAGTAATTTGTAATGTTTCTTATGTGTTTCCTTACAGGAGTTAATGGACGCGTCGAGTACAGTATCACAGCCGGTGATGACAACGAGGATTTTCAAATTCTGAACAACGGTACGATCCGTACCAGGCGGTCGTTGGATCGCGAGACGAAGGCTAGCTACAATCTGATCGTAACGGCTCGGGATAGCGCCCGGGAACCGGAAAAGCAGCTTTCGTCCACTGTGCAGGTAAGCGCGCAGAACTGCATTGGCAGTCAGCATAGAATTGTCATTGTCACCTTAAGTTTAACTGAAAAGCATCAAAGCTGAATATTTTTTTTTTTTTTTTGTCTTTGAAATACAACTTTTTATATAAATAGTGGGAACGGAAAATAAAACGTTAATATTCAAATCGATGTTTTAAAAATCAGTTCCAATTGGAATGTACACAGCAAAAAAATAATTTTGATATCACATCAAAGTGGGTGCACTTCAATCGTGTCAAAAATATGGTGTAATATTACTTGCCAAAAAGGATAAAATTATCATTAATACAGTGCATGAACTGACATCACGCTGCTTTTACTTCTTTATTTTTATTTTTGTGGCCATAAAAACTACATGAGATTTTCGACATTATTGAAGTGCATCCACTTTTATGTGATATTAAAATTTATTTTTTGCTGTGTATAAAAATCTTTAACTGAATAAATTTCTAATAACAATCCACTTACATTAGTCTTTACCTCCCAACAAGCATATTGGTTGATTAAAAACGGAATAAGGCTTTTATTTAGCTGGTTTAGTCTTTGTTTGACAGTATAAGCTACTATTCAGCAGTCAAGATTATGAGATAAACCAGCCTACGAATGAAAATCAAAGTAATAAAGTTTAAAGATTAATTAAATAATTGTTATCATTTTAGATAACGATTGACCAAATCCTTCTTATTTGAAGACATGGTTGATAAAATCCACGTAAAATTAGCCATGAAAGTGGCTATTTGTGGATTCTATTAATCTTGTCCCTAACTACCATTTTTAAAATTGTTATTTCTTGAAACACAAAGAACGAAATCAGGGTGTCGACTCAATAAAGATAACCAAATTCCCTGATATTTCCTCATTTTCCAGTAGATTTTCAAAATAATTCCAGGTACAGTACCTACTCATCAGCAATTGCTTTCCTAAGATATGTATTAGTGTTTGTTTGGAGATTGCAGCACATGAACCTCTAACCCATAAAGAATGGTCCAGTACAATCGCTAATTGGATAAAGCGTTCGATACATTTTATAGAACACAAAAAGGACAAAAATCACGTTTTGGAAAAACGGGAAGACTCCGCATTTTTATAAATTCACAAATTTTAAATGTGGTAAGCGCCCGGTAATCAGTTCAAGCAGTAACCGGGATGTTACTACGATTGATAGCCATGTATGTTGCAAACTGCGATCATATAGATATCAATCTACAAAAAAGGCTTACTTAATCGCATCAAGTTTTCAGCAAATTCCGTGATCCGTTTCTTACCTTGATTTACTCCATGATACGAGAAGCGGTCCTTGGCATGGAAATTTTCTCACCCTTAGAAGTTCTTTTCGAACTGTATTTTTCAAAAACCTGTATAATCGCAACGCTAACAACTAGTGAATTTATAACAGTTTAATGTGGTCATCAAGAAAATTTATATTAAAATTTTTATAAGTATCAGAATAAAAAATAAGCTTTATGTTTCTAAGCATTCAATTAGGGTGCTATGAGAATAAAATAAAAGTATAAAAACGCAACAATGTTTTATGATGGACTTGTTGGTGAACCATTCAATCACATCAAATGCTTCATTAAAACCTCATTCAAGCGATTAATCCAAGGAGTGGTCTAAGGGTGCATGCAGAAGGAGTACCTCGCTGAAGCAAGCATATGGTTGAAGCCACCACAACATATATGCTTTAGATTTCCAACGTAGGAGGATGTTTCTTATTTCGACTCTTTGGATATGTAATAAGAACCAGATTCATACCAATTTCAGCAATCGATGTTTTAGTAGTAGGAATGATTTGTTTTCACATTTTCTAAAGTGTTACCAAACACATATGTTCAAATATTGCAGTGTTAACATAAAGCATCGATTTTTACATGTTATTTCATACAACATGCAACAGCATACCTCTAAACATGTATTGATGTTATTACAATTTTTTGCTTTCAATCTACCGTTATAGTAGTAATTCATAATTTCAGTCTGCGATTTTTTTTTTAATTACGTGTACTGCAAAACCAGGTTGGTATCATGTTTTTCATAACATTTGAAGAAATTTTAAGCTTTGATATTCAACAGATATTCTACCTTATTTCATTTCAGCTTAAATCATACATACTCATTTATCTTCTGAAATGGTTCATACCATATCATGAACAAATATTAGTGCCAATCCATTAACTCGACCTTCTCAGGTTATACTCCGTAGATTACATATGCTTTCAATAATATCAAGAAATGGAAGAACGACTTTATTTCAATAGTAGGGTAGAGAACTACTTCGGCCTAATCGCCCATTTTGGGCTTATCGAGCAGAAAACTTCAAATAAATCAATGATTTCAGAGCTAACAAGTCAATTATGCGGTTGGTAGAATACTTTAGTAAATAAGCTACCGATCGAAGTCAATGAAAACGCGTGATATGAAGGTTTGCACCCATTATAGCGTTAGCGTTAGCGTTAGCGTTAGCGTTGTTATGATATACTTCGTAGATTGGATACTAACGACAGTCACGTCTCTTCTGAAATTCTCAGTTAGACTACTTTCAGGAATAATGCTGGGGAGTAAACATTGGTTCCAATCTAAACAAGAATAACAGAAGCATGACTGTCGCTATTCCTGGCCACGCCCATCTTTACCATAACTAGGGATAGGGAAGGTAATGTTGATGTAGTACTTACTTAACGAGAGGCCACCGACTTAGCGACACCCTCATAAGTGCTACGGAGTTGGAGGGTTGGGTAGGGTATTCGGTTAGGATTCACCTCAAGTTGGCGTACAGATGAAGGTTTGCACCCATTATTCCCAAAAACAAAAGATACGCTCCGAGCGAATCATGTTTTATCTTCATCCGATAGGCCGAAGTGAATTCATTGGCGTTTCAATGCGTTAGGCCGAGTTTAAAATCCGTATGCCGAGTTTGGCGTCAAGAAGCAGTGTTAGACTTTTGACAATATCTCAACGATTGGTTTTTCTTTATCAAATCTTACGGTACCTACGCAAAGGTAAATAAATTTGAAATCCATCAGTAATAATAACATTCCGTTTGGTGCTAAACTGCGCTAGATTAAGAAAGACTAAGTGCGGGTTGTGCTTAATAGACCGGATATGGGGTAGTTAACCTTACTCATCACACAATTCAAACGTAAATTTTTCAAACTCCTTCTGATGTATGACTGCTCTTGGAAAATTCATGAGGCTACGCGAAGTGCTAAGAGCTGTGTCTGCCTGTAAAAAAAAAACAGGACGCTAAATGAACAGTTAGGGTTGAACAATTCAGTCGGTACTTTGTTCAAGACATCACCTATAGACTATCAAAATATCAACTGCAGGATGGTTAAAAGATCCAAAGATACACAACTATGTGCCCCACCAAATGTTATTGGGCTTCATGAGGCACTATGGGTGCTAGAATTCAATTGGAACATTGCATAATTCTTGAACATCTAAACTGCAGGATGATTTGTAATTTTTAAGATCCATAGGTTAATGGAAATCTGTTCTAATATTTCTTCTGGATAATAGACGTACTGTAGTACATCTTTCCTGAAAAAAGTACATGCTTATCTCTAAGCGATGATTTTTGACAGATGATTTAGTGCAAGGGCCATGTATGAATCATATATCATCGGTATATGCGGTAATGCGAATTTTTGGAATATTTTATAAGGAACAAGATAAATTTAAATTTTCTTAAAAGTTTTGGGAATAGGTTTGAACCCTCATCCCCCTTCTTTACTGCACTTCTGTTACTATATATAGTACTATAGACGGATTTCACGCCAACTCGTCTTCGGAGTTGGCAGCACCCTCTCAGAACCTTATGAAACTTTGTGGGTGTGGAGACTTAGCAATTTTAAGCAACTTTGAGTACTTATTTTTTTCAAAATTTATCTCGCCTAACATTTGATAAGGGTCAAAGTTTTTTGTCGATTTTTTTTTCAAATCGATATAGCTTAAAAATGACAAGCCCTACAAAATAGTGATGTATGGCGAACTTTTAGCAAATAATCTGAAATTTTATAAAAAAAATTAAATAAAATAAAAAATTGGTTTCTACACTCTAAAAAAATATATTTAAAAATTAAAAGTCATTTTCCCAAAAATGGTACCCCTCAGATTTGCTTGATATTTTTTCTCATGAAAGGCAATATAATTACCTAACTTTTCTTCATACATCGCAAAGTGGGTGCTTTTAAGGAAAAAAAGTTGTTCGAACAACAACTTGTTAATTTTTTTTAGCGTGTTTCACTCAAAGTCGAATAGTAATACGCGCACAACCTTATTAAAATCCGTTGAAACTTAATGAGCATAAAGATTTTGACCTTTTGATAATCTGGGCGTGCTTAAAACAAAAATCTAGCCTAACATTTGAAAGGGCCTAATACAGAGGATTTTCCTGCATTTCGAATGGTGTTTTAATAAATGAAAACTCTAGTGTTTTTGTTTAGTGCATAATTTATTTTCCTATAATTCTCCATACATAATTTGAGTTTTTCATTGATTATTAGTCTATCGGAAACAGAGTGAAATTTTTCGGAGTTTCCTTTGAATGTGAAAATCGCTTAGTAGAAATTATGTTTTGAGAAATAGGTACAAAACAATGAAATGTTTGTGTACCAGGTATAGTTTTTAGATGACTGAACAGCTCCTTGAGTTCATCGGACATCTTTGTGTATTGATCACACAAAGTTATTATTATTTACCTAGTGTATCATCAAATTCCTGATGTTCTGATTGCTGATGACTTGTTGATGGTTGCGGCTCTTCAAACTTCCGAGCATGGCTTGATTCTTTTCCATCCGATCGCCTCTTTTTCGGGAGAGGTGTCCTATTGTGCACTAAAATTCCACGACACGATTCACAAATACGCATTGTTACATCCAATTGATGATCAAAGCCCCATGAATGTATTTTCTCTATGAGACTTGATGATAAATTACGTAAATTATTGCGGCTGCAATTGGGATTGTTTATGTTGGCACTACATTGCACCCTTTTAATAATCAATTCAGCAGATTTTTCCATTGTTGTATATATAAACACTTTTTCGTTTCAACAACTATGCAGCACTACACTTTCAACAACTATGCACTACAGCAACTATGAGCATTGTTGTGATATCACCAAACTTAAATATTAGATTATGTCGGTAGAAACAGACTGCGGTGCTTTAAGTTTATACCTTATATCTCTCATGTGACTACCTGCGTTGTTATATAACTGCTATATAGCAGGTAACTTAACGATTATTTTAGGCATGCCTTAAATAATCGTTAAGTTACCTGCGCTATTATATGTATTCACTTGAGAGATGAGGTATAAACATATATGCATATTGCTTACTAATGGACACACCTAATACATAAAAATAAATGAATGATTATTTTTCTAATTAAATTAATCACAAATACATGAATTGAAATCTTTTCATGAATAAAACATACTAAGTGATTTTTACTTAGTTTACCTGTTGATTTGGAACAATTTGAGGGTGGTTTTATAGAAGTTGGATAGAGTGTATGCATATATTATAATACAATCCATCACAGGAAAGTGCAAACCATGCTGAGATGGCTGTTCCTCATTAGAACGTTTTGTTCTGAACTCTTATTGGACGATTTGCAGGTAACTTCTCTGTACCCTTTTCAAATGTTAGGCTAGATTTCGCCCAGATTATCGAAAAGTATACCCATAAAGTTTAATCGAATTTTAATAAGGTTGTGCGCGTATTACTATTCGACTTTGAGTGAAACACGCTAAAAAAAATTAACATGAAAAAGTTGTTGTTCGAACAACTTTTTTTCCTTAAAAGCGCCCACTTTGCGATGTATGAAGAAAAGTTAGGTAATTATATTGCCTTTCATGAGAAAAAATATCAAGCAAATCTGAGGGGTACCATTTTTGGGAAAATGACTTTTAATTTTTAAATATATTTTTTTAGAGTGTAGAAACCAATTTTTTATTTTATTTAAATTTTTTTATAAAATTTCAGATTATTTGCTAAAAGTTCGCCATACATCACTTTTTTGTAGGGCTTGTCATTTTTAAGCTATATCGATTTGAAAAAAAAATCGACAAAAAACTTTGACCCTTATCAAATGTTAGGCGAGATAAATTTTGAAAAAAATAAGTACGCAAAGTTGCTTAAAATTGCTAAGTCTCCACACCCACAAAGTTCCATAAGGTTCTGAGAGGGTGCTGCCAACCACTGGATGAGTTGGCGTGAAATCCGTCTATAGTACGTGATAAAACTAAAAATAAACTTGTTCTCGCAATATGGTTCGCTTATCAAGTTGCAATGATGACATTAAGACTGGGTCAATTGCGGTCACGCAATAATAAAATAAGCAGTTTTTTTAATGTATCACATTAACATACATGTACCCATGTATGAAATTGAATGTAATTTTGATGCTGTATAGTGCAAGTTGAACCAGCAAAAACAAAGTGGAGCTATAAACTAATAAAATACTGTCTTCCCCTTAGGTAACCATCGTGCTGAAAGACGTAAACGATCTGGCTCCGGAATTCGTCACTCCCAACGAAACCAGCATTGCCGAAAACATTCCACTCAACACGGTCATCATGGCCGTGAAGGCAGTGGACCGTGACGAGGGTCGCAACGGATATGTCGAATACTCCCTGGACCCAAATGTGCAAACCCCATTCACGGTAGGCTCAGCAGACGGCCTCTTGCGGGTGTCCGGTCGGTTGGATCGGGAAACGAAATCCAGCTACGAACTAACAATCACCGCCAAGGATCGAGGCGAACCTCCCAAATCCAGCCAGTCCAAAATTTTGATCCATGTGCTGGACGACAACGACAACAGCCCAATTTTCGATCCGAAACAGTACAGTGCAGCCATCGCGGAGAATGCCAGCATAGGGGCAAGCGTGCTACAGGTCAGTGTCGCCGTTGAGAACTTAATCTTTTTCCTCACTGCAAAAACAAGAATCACACCGAATTGGAAACTTTTTCGCACGGAATCCCGCATCGGAAATCCATTTAAATATTTTTGATCCAAAATCCATTTTTTTTTATTTATTCAAAAGACAGCCTCAATCGCGAAACACATATTGGCCGCGGTGACCGCGTGAGCTTGCCGGATAAATACGGCAGTAGACCGCTAACCGCGAGCAAGACGACGAGAGGCAACTTAAAACGTTTTTGCTGTTTATTTTAGAGCGTCACGAAATGCCTTTATTCAAAACATCATTTTTCTTTCGACTATATGCGCATACGTGCCGCCGTCCTTTGGCTCTGTGGCGGTGGCACTGTGCGCGACAACGGATTATAATCCGATCCGGTCAGGAAGTGTAAGAAGCGTGCAATCTGAGAACAGCTCTTACCTACACCCACTGGAATTCTTGGGTCGTTTATCTGTGTAGAAAGATGAAAAGTTGCTCACTACTTTGTTACTAAGACAACAAGACACGTGTCTGTGATGGACAAAGTAATGGACTTTTCATTTATTAAATTGTAGTCAAAAACTTTGAATCACTAAAGGCTTCCCACTGTACTCATCGCAAGCGACAACCCAGATCGCTAATGCAATTATCTCCCAGCAGAAGAAATATGCGTGCGAACGAGAATCACCATCGCAAAGTTCATTTTTCACTTAAAAACGTTTATCTATAACTAATAAATTATTCATGAATCAAACTGAAATCGACTCCTTCTCACATTTGCTTCGCTAAACTTTGATTAAGCGGCCAGTCGGCGGCAGTCGGCTTATGGTGGCAGAGAGTAGGCAAAAAGCGCTTCCAAATCAAACGCAAGGTACTTTGGAGGAGTCGCATTCACTTCTGTTGGTTGCTGCAAAGATTGGCTACACGAAAAGTGACCACTTTTTCCGCCAGCAGACATCCCCAATCAGGCGCACATTTACAGACGATGACTAATTAACTATTATAATTCGTTTGCACTACACATCAACCAAACATGCTTCGGTCCCTTTGGGAGACTGGAACTTTAATCCTAGAGTCCGCAGTGATTTGAAACTGATTTTAAAAATGTTCCCTTGCCTTTCTCATTCGCATCTTTTTCTTCTCTTTTGGTGTGCTGTCACGCATATGCTTACATACACACACACAGGTTTCCGCCACCGACATCGACGAGGGCGCTAATGGACGGGTCCGTTTCTCGATTGCGGCCGGCGACGACAATCGAGACTTCACCATCAGCGAAGACAGCGGCGTAGTTCGGGTGGCCAAGAATCTCAACTACGAACGCAAATCGCACTACACCGTTACCGTCCGGGCCGAGGACTCCGCCAGTGACACGGAAAACGGTGAGGTGCGTTTCGACACGGCCAAACTCTCCATAACCATCACGGACATCAACGACAATCCACCGACGTTTCTGGACTCGCCGTACCTTGCGTACGTGATGGAAAATGTCATCCCACCCAACGGAGGATATGTCATCACGGTGAAAGCTTACGACGCCGATACACCACCGTTCAACTCACAGGTTCGCTACTTTCTCAAGGAAGGCGATACGGACTTTTTCAAAATCAACGCATCGACCGGTGAAATCTCACTGCTGCGGGCGCTCGATCGGGAAATGCAGGCCGAATACATCCTGACACTAGTGGCAATGGATACCGGTAAGTAATTGCAGTCCTTGCGATTTTGTTTTCTTCTTGCATGTAGGCACCACCACGCGATTATGTTTCTCTTTGGGATCCTTTTTTCGAAATTTTGCATGTACCCACCTTGAAGCTCGTTTGCTTTTGACCGTACGATGCAGGAACAGGGACGAACTTTGTGCGTAGGTTGATTAGTTTTTATTTTTTGCAAAGGAACAGCTCACAGTTTGTTTTTTTTTAAGGATCAATCATCAAAGACTTCAAATATATTCAACGCAAACTGTTCGATCAAATGTTTCAGACTTAAGGTGATACTCTAAGGAAGCCTTAGCGTGAAACTTCAAAGGCACAAATGTCAGCTTCCACAAAACATACAAATTTGAAATTGCTTCTCTCTGTTTGTAGTAGCACAGCAAACAAGGAGTAGCAATTTCAAATATGTATGTTTTGTGGAAGCTGACATTTGTGCCTTTGAAGTTTCACGCTAAGGCTTCCTTAGAGTATCATCTTAATGCTAGACTTTCTGATGTTTCTTATTTAATTTCATTTGATGATTATGATATCTCATTAGTGTAATTTAATAAACAATTGAAAAATTCTAATTCACCATATCAATCATAACCCATGCTTTATCAGAAAAGTTAAAATAATGATAAAGAAACAACTATTAGAATTAGAATTTTGAATTTTGAATATATTTACTAATCATTGCAGAAGATGAATGAACTTTAAAGGAGTCCAGGGAACTTTGGAAGTATTTAAGATTATTTAAAAAGGTTAAGAAAACTTTGGAGAGTATCATAACATTTTGAAAAAAATTCAGGGAACTTTGGGGAATTTCAGGACACTTTATAAAATTGAAGAACTTTGAAGAAGTTCAGGGAAGATTTATGACAAATTCAAGGACGTTCAAATGCCTTCAAATAAATTCAGAGATGTTCAAGGATACTGAAAGCAGTTTTTGAAGGGTCTGAGTTAATTAGAGAGCTTCTATTTTGAAAAAGTTCGGGTAGCTTTCGGAAACAATCCAGCTTTCCATAAAAATTTAGGAATTTTTATAAAAACATAACCTGGATCCATTTTCAGCTTCAGCTCATCGCAAGTGTCAATCCCAAAATGGTAGAAAATCACCTATATAACACTTGATAAACTAAACAAGTTCGTTCACGAAAAGTTTGAAAAATCAGTGAAATATGCTGCATAAGAAGCAAAGGTTTGAAGCAAATTTAAAATGCATTTTCTCGACTTCTTGCTGTGTCCTATAGTACCGACTAGCGATGAGCGGCAATACTTTTTCTTGTTGTGATTTTTCTACAAAGAATAACGGAATTTGCTATGTTTAGCATTACGCAATCCATCAAGTTCCGAAACTCGGAAGTTCAACCCTGTAGCCGAAAGTTGGTCGACAGCAGAAAAAATGAACCAAACTGCATAAGCGAAACGTCGTTAATGAACGTAAACACATTTGGCCTTCAGTTACATTTAAGCGGGGAGGTCCTCCAGTTCCCAGCCTTCCTGCCATGTGGCAGTATCGAACTGGGGGATGCTTTAACTTGGCGACCACGCAATATGTGTAAGCGTTTTTCGATAACTCCTCTGCCGTATTTTTTGTTTTCCTCCGTTCTGATGACCGGTTAATGCACAAAAGTAGCCAGCAGCAGCAGCAGTTTTGGCCTGAGCGAAGCAGCATCACATGCATAGGTCCAGAGCGTAGCGCAATGATACACAATCAACCTCAGAGAGCAACCGAACGGAAATGCCCCAAGTGACTAAAACTGCACGTTTTGTTATTATACACACACGCTGCTGATGCCTTCACCACCGTCGTCAGTTGGTGTTGCAGCATCAGCTATCGATCGGTGCCTACAAATCCCTTGAACCTTGAGAGTCCCACCAGTAGGCAGCAGCGTCGTGGACACTCGGCGAAAGAAGGCAAAAAACGACTTAAATCCTTCTCTTCATTAAGTGAAACTCACCACCGTGCGCACAATTACTCCGCGCGGTGTTCCTGCACAACACACAGTCAGCCGATGTCGATGGCGATGGCGGTAGTTTTGCGGGAAAATCTGTGTTATTTTGAATTTTTGGAGCCATCAAGTCCGGATCTTAATGGGCGAAGGCGACGAGATGCCACGCTGCTGCTGTGGATGACTATAGTGGTGCTGGTGGTGATGGTGGACGACGCGGAAATATACATATTCGCTCCGAGCTGCAAACCAATAAAAGCTCGGGCAAATTTGGTAATCCACCCGTAAGTTGAAAATATATGGAACGTAATAATCGTATAGCTGCGTTGCGGAGGTGCGGGGTGTTAAGTGGGCCGACCCGTTGGATGTCACTGGAAATTCTGAACAGGTCATACAAATTGAGCAAACGAAATATACAAATCTAACACGATTCATTTTAGAATTTAGTATTTAATATTTAGTTAAATACTAAATATTAAATACTAAATTCTAAAATGAATCGTGTTAGATTTGTATTTTTCGTTTGCTCAATTTGTATGACCTGTTGAGAATTTCCAGTGACATTCAACGGGTCGGCCCACTTAACACCCCGCACCTCCGCAACACAGCCATACGATTGTTACGTTCCATATATTTTCAACTATATCAGAGTTCTTCAACATTGTATTCGTTCATCGTTTTTGATAAGTTGATTTGGCCCAACATTTTTAAAATAATTGCGGCAAACAAATATTGCATATGTGAACATTAATTTCTCCATGTCTCTCACGCTAATGGTCACGAATTCAAATTGCATCCCCGGTCAAGTAACCGGAATTCTACAAAAAGTGCTTATCTGTCAAAACATAGCGATCCATCGAGTCAGTTGGCAAGTTATCCCGCCTATTACTAATTCCTTGCACGAAGCGCTCAGCAATCAGGAAACACATAGTTCGACCAAAACAAAACGAAATATTACACATTTTTTGATCGATATATCTGCACAATTGCGAAGAAGCGAAACCTATGCTTGCGTCCATTTAACCTAGCAGTTGCAAGCATCCTATATCTGAATGTGGTGTACCCACCGTGATCTGTTCGGTAACAATTCCTTCCTCCTAAGCTACTTCTGCACAAAAAGCGTACTGATTTCGAAAAACAAAGACTTTGCGATAATCGTCTCTTGCTGTGTGTGGTGCTACGCGAGCTTATTGTGCTTATAGTCGCGGTAATTGAGGAATTTTTCCCTGTCCTCGCCTGCTGTTTTTGTTGTTGTTGTTGTTGTTATGGTTACGAACCTCGGAGGAGACCAAAGGTGACCTCAATTTCGCGCTGTTTTCTGCCTGATTTAATCGCTTAGTAGCTCTCTATACACAGCTTAGCTGCCAGCGATGCCCTCTATGTCCATTGCGTAGAAACTTTTCCCCCTTCATCGTCTGCGGTTTCGAGCCTCATCTTAAGTCGTGGCGGGTAGTGGGACTCCTTCTTTCTAGGAGAGTATGAAAAGATGCGCGGCCGACTGTCGGTCGTGGGATCATCTGTTCAGAATGAAACAAACCAGAAGGTTCGAAAATGGTATTCCTGGTATGACTGATTTGAATCTACAGAATTGTGCTGCCATAGAATAATGAGGAAGTTTCTTGAGATAAAAGTGTTGCTACCACATGCAAGGAACATTTTATACCATCCTGAACAACGTGCATGCATTCAAGCGTACTCTTCAAACAGATTGCCTTAATTTATTTCGGAGAACAATTGTAACTTCAAATTAATTTTGACGTTTTCGAGTATGAAAACATATATTTACATTTCCAACACAGAATCGTTGTCAGTTCCACCAAATAACAATGCACTCACGCAGAGTAGGCCTTGCGTCTATAAGAATCTTCTCCACGGGTCTTTTCTTGCGCCACATTTCCCTTCAACTTTCGTTATTCTGTTATTTGTGGAAAGCCAAAAACCTTTTAATCCCATGAGTGATGAAACGAATGAATCAAGCCACAAAGGAAAAAAAAAGATAACACATTGCCCAACCCGCGAGTCAGCTTAATCTGCTCGTTTATTTTCCATTTTACGTGTACTCTCCAAAGCCAAACACAAGGCTTCTCTTATGGGCAGAAGCGTTTCCCCCCGAACAGTGCCCAAGCGGGTGAGAGCGGAGAAACATAAAATGAATTTTGTTTTGTATCTGAGCAACATTTAATCAAATGTCATTCCATCAAATTGATAATTATAATTATTATTTTCCTATACGTCCATTTCGTGATCGCGCACGTTGAGTTGCACACATTCTCTTCGGGCTCGTCTCTCTTTCTCGTGTGGTGGTGGTTCGATTCGATGGTAGTTTTCTTCCCTCGTTATGCTTGGAGCACTTTCCGGATTCCTGACACTATCATACGACGACACCTCCACTCCATCGCATCGCAGTAACCCATCACAGCAGAACCATCGTCGCGTTACCGGGGTGATGTATGTTGGTGTAATGTAGACGCGGCGATCCCAGTGCTCATGCTTGTAGTATATTATAGAAAACAGAATTACTTACACCTCTTTCTCCCTTTGGCTCGCTTTACCGTAGATCAAGCAAGAGTAAAATAATCCACTTCAGACCATCTAGTTGCATCCACAGAGGTCTCTTCTTCCAAACACTTATCATTATGAATGATGAAGCAGTTTCATATTTATTTTCATTAGACTTTAAGCATGTCCGTATGGTAAAAAAAAACTTTCATGCTTATTCTAGATGCAAAGTGAGGTCAGTACTGGCAGTTCATTACAACCTTTACTTTGTATCTTCTGTGCCGCTTACCTCTGCAATGAAGTTGATACATACACTGACTTGTAAAATTTCCGCGTGACTTCATGCAAAAAAACAAAATGGATTCTGTGGTACATAAATTCTTCAATTTTTTCAAGTTTCCTGGAGCTTTACGCCTACCCTTCCGCTTAGTGTATTTTAAACACTTCCATATTTGTAATTGAAATATTCCTGAGTCAAGACCAATTTTTTATCCATACACGGCCGCTGAAAACAATTCAAAATTAAACACATTTTTATTTAAAAAAATTACT